TTTCTCAATATTGTTTTAAGAGAGTTCTATGTTTTTTAAACATCTAGATTATTGTTTCCAATTGCTGCATAACACTCCAATTTATTAATTCACCATCCTTAATTATTCACCTACTGATGAAGACCATCACTGCCCTGAACCCTAGCTACTACAAAACAATACTTCAATCAACAACCTTGTATTTACATCCTTTAGGACTTGTGCAAGAGTTTTTCTGGATTATATACCTAAGATTGGGACTGATGGACCATAGGACATACGCATTGAATTCTACCAATGTAGGGGTATGGTGGTTCCAAATTCTACATGTCTTCATTAACTCCAATAACTTCACTGATAAGTTCCTCTCTGACCCTCTAATTCTGGGCACTCTGGTGGATTTAAACTGACATGTAATTTGCTAACTTATTAGGATGAGGCTGAGCATCTTTTCAGACATGTTAGCAATTCAGATTTCCTTTTCTCTGAATTATCCTTTCGTATCTTTAACCCATTTTTTTTTACATTGCGTTTCTTATTCTTAAATATTTGCATATTTTGTTGTATATTCTGGGTATTAATCACTTTTTGAAGCTGAAGACATCTCCCAGTTTGTCACTCATTAGTTAATCTTTCCAATCATGTCTTTGTTTGGAAGAAATCTTTAATTTTAATTTTCACTATACGGTTTATGTTTTCTGTATTTAAGAACGTTCATTCATTCCAAAGTCATAAAGATAGTCTATATTTTTCTATTAGTGTTATGGGTTGAATTGAGTCCCCCCCCCAAAAAAAAGACATGTTGAAGTCTTAACCCCCAGTACTACAGAATGTGATCTTATTTGGAAATTGAATTGTTCTAGATGCAATTTGTTAAATTAAGGTGGGGTCTTTCTGGACTAGGGTGGGCCCCTCATTCATTATGACTGATGTCCTTCTAAGAAGACAGCCATTTAAAGACAGACACACACAGGGAGAATGCCTTGTGACAACATAGCTTGGAGCTGTGCAGCTGCAAGCCAGATTGCCAGCAAACCACCAAAAACTAAGAGGAAGCAAGGAAGGGTCCCCTACAAGTTTCAGAGGGAGCGTAGCCCACTGACACCTTGATCTTGGACCTGCAGCTTCCCAAACTGTGAGACAATACACTTCTGCTGTGGTAAGCCACCTAGTTTGTGATACTTTCTTCTGGCAGCCCTGGGAAATGAATATACTAGCTTTACAGATTTATCTGTCATAGTTAGGTCTCTGCTCCATTTTTTTTTTTTATCTTTGTGTTAGTGAAAGATAGGATACTACCTTTCAAGTAAAGGTACTTTATTTTCTCCTTATGAGGAGTTAGTTTTCCCAATACAATCCTTTAACGATCCATCCCTTCTCTTATGATGACGATGCTTACTCTGAAATTCCTTGAGTTCTTTGATGTCGTGGTGTCTGTTCCCTTGGTCGGTTTGTCTGTTCAGGTGCTACACCACCTTTGTTTCCTCTTTTTTAACTCTGGCTTTAAATTTCTCTTATCCAATACAGAAAATCTCTCTTTCTCTCTCTTTTGCCATTCTTATCCCATTGTGGGGCTTGACTCTTACATGTGCATTTTTTAATCTGTTTATTGTATTCCTCAAAAAAATATTTCTGGAATTTGGACCTGCATTGAATTTATAGATTGATTTGGGTAGAAGAGACATCTTAATATTAAATCATTGCTCTCATGAACGTGGTTTATCTCCCAATTTGTTAGATTTTGTTACGTTTATTGATTTTAGAGAAAGAAGAGGCAGGGGGAGAGAAACATTTATTTATTGTTCCACTTATATATGCATCATTGGTGGTTTCTTGTATGTGCCCTCACTGGGGATTGAACCCACAACCTTGGTGCATCAAGACGATGCTCTGACCCACAGCGCTGACAGCCAGGGCACCCAAATGCCTAGATTTAATGCCCCTTTAATAAGATTAATTTTTAATAAACATCTTTTGGATTGATAGGTGAATTACTAGATTACTTTTTAGCTTTTGTTACTAATCTGAATGGAATCCTCAATTTTGTTAGAGTTTCTAGCTATTTATTATTATACAGGGGAATGCTATTCATTTTTCCAATTTGATCTTTTTTTGGCCAATTTGCTGAGTGTCTTAGTTTTTTTTTTTTTTCATTGCTTTAGAGAGAGACAGAGAGAGAGAAGGAGATAAGATACATCATGTGAAAAACATCAACTCGCTGCCTTTTTGTACGTGTCAACCAGGGATCCAACCTGAAACCTGGCCCATGCCCTGATCAGGAATCAAACCCATGACTTCCGTCTATGGGATGCTGCTCCAACCAACTGAGGCACAGCAGCCAGGGCAGTAAACCAGGGCTTTTAAAAAATATATATATATTTTATTGATCATCCTATTACAGTTGTCCCATTTTCCACCTTCCCTCCCCTCCACCCTGCATACCTCTCCCACCCACATTCCCCCCTTTTAGTTCATGTCTATGTGTCATACTTATAACTTCTTTAGCTTCTACATTTCCCATACTATTCTTACCTTCCACTGTCTATTTTCTACCTACCATTTATGCTACTTATTCTCTGTACCTTATCCCCTCTCTCCACCTCCCGCTCCCCTGTTGCTAACCCTCCATGTGGTCTCCATTTCTGTGGTTCTGTTCCTGTTCTAGTTGTTTGCTTAGTTTGTTTTGTTTTTGTTTTAGGTGTGGTTGTTAATAATTGTGAGTTTGCTGTCATTTTACTGTACATGTTTTATATCTTCTTTTTCTTAGATAAGTCCCTTTAACATTTCATATAATAAGGGCTTGGTAATGATGAACTCCTTGAACTTGACCTTATCTGAGAAGCATTATCGGAGAAGCACTTTATCTGCCCTTCCATTCTAAATGAAAGCTTTGCTGGATAGAGCAATCTTGGCTGTAGGTCCTTGCCTTTCATGACTTGGAATAATTTTTCTGGCCTCTTCTTGCCTGTAAGGTCTCTTTTGAGAAATCAGCTGACGGTCTTATGGGAACTCCTTTGTAGGTAACTATCTCCTTATGTCTTGGTGCTTCTAGAATTCTCTCCTTCATTTTAATCTTGGGTAATGTAATTATGATGTGCTTTGGTGTATTTCTCCTTAGGTCCACCTTCTTTGGGACTCTCTGAGCTTCCTGGACTTCCTGGAAGTCTATTACCTTTTCCAGATTGGGGAAGTTCTCCTTTATTATTTGTTCAAATAAGTTTTAAATTTCTTGCTCTTCCTCTTCCCCTTCTGGTACCCCCACAGTTCAGATGTTGGAATGTTTAGAGATGTCCTGGAGGTTCCTAAGCCTCTCCTCATGTTTTTTTGAATTCTTGTTTCTTCCTTCTTTTCTGATTGCACGTTTCTTTCTTCCTTCTGGTCCACTCCATTGGTGAATCCCAGTTTCCTTTCCATCACTATTGGTTCCCTGTACATTTTCCTTTATTTCACTTTTCATAGCCTTAATTTTTTCATTTAATTTGCGACCAAATTCAACCAGTTCTGTGAGCATCCTGATTACCAGTGTTTTGAACTGTGCATCTGATAGGTTGGCTATCTCTTCTTTGCTTAGTTGTATTTTTTCTGGAGCTTTGATCTGTTCCTTCATTCAGGCCTGGTTTTTTTTTTTGTTTGTTTTGTTTTGTTTTGTTTTTGGTCTTGAGGCGCATGCTACATAGTGAAGGACGGAGTCTCAGGTGTTCACCAGGGTGGGGCAACCCAAGTTGCTGTGTTGTGATGCTGTATGTGGGAGTGGGGTCTGGAGGGAATAATGATGCTTGCTTCACTCTCTGCCAGATTTCAGTCACTTTCCCTGCTTCCCCCACCTCCCCCAAGCAAATTGGGCCCTTCTGGTGCTGATTTCTGAGTGGGTGGGCTTGTATACGTTCCAGGACCCTGCGGGTCTCTCCAGTGAACTCTCCTGTGAGGCTGGGAGTTTCCCCTGGCACCTCATCCCCCACAGGTGTTTTCAGTTGGTGTTTTAAGGCTTTATTTCCACATGCTTGGACCCTGGGTTGCGCGGTCTGTCTTGTTCCCCATTTTTGCCTGGTTTATCTGCATGCAAATGTGGGACCACCCAGTCCACCAGCTGCTTCGTGCACCGCACCCTTCCACAATCCTCTACCTCTCTGAGTCCACCAGCTGCCGCCTGTGTGCCCGGGATCCACCAGCCACTGCTTTGCCACCAGCTCTCTCCACCTGGCCACCTGACCCTGCCCCTCCTACCGTCTGGATGAATGTGTTTACTTTAACTCCTTGGTTGTCAGACTTCCATACAGTTCAATGTTCTGTCAGTACTGATTGTTTTTTTGTTTCTAAATTGTTGTTATCCTTATTTTGGTTGTGTGAGGAGGCACTGTGTGTGTACCTACACTTCCATCTTGGCTGGAAGTCCCCCAGTGTGGTATCTTACTAGTTTTAATGGTTTGGAGTTTCTCTATAGAATACCAAGTGATATCCACAGAATAACAATTGCATCACCCCCTCCCATTTCTTATATACTTATTTAGAATGAGTTACTGCCGTGGCCAGCCCCCCCCCGGAGAGGACAGTGGTGAGGGTGGCCAGCTGTGTTTTCTTCCTGAAGAGGGAGGGGTTTGAGTTTAAGTTTCTATGCTAAGTGTGAAGTTTCTGGGAAATTTTGGGTAGAGAATCCTTATCAATTTATGGAAGTTCCTTTCCATTTCAAGTTTTCTGAGAACTTTTATCATAAGTAGATGTTGAACTTTATCAAAAATTTTTTTCAATTTGTGGAGGCAACCATGGGTGAACTTCCCTCCTTTATTCCACAATGGAGTACATTCATTGCATTGTGAATGTTCTGATGCTTACTAAGACGTATTTGGTGATGTTTTGCTTTTATTTTTAATACATTATTTTATTTGCTTTTCTAATATATTATTTAGGAATTGTATATATACTTGGAAAATCAAATGGACCTCTAACAGTCTCTTCCCCAAAATATCCCTATTTATTTTAGGAGTCAAGGGTATACCAGCTTCATAAAATAAACTCCTTTCCACGCTCCCTTCGGCAGCACATGTACTCATGTTGGAACGACACAGAGAAGATTAGCAGGGCCCGGCGTGAGGACGACACACACGTCCGTGAAGTGTTCCATACTTTAAAAAATAAAATAAGATAAATTCTTTTTCTTTTCTCCCCGTAATAATTTGTATATTGCAAATGTTATTTGTTCCCTGCAGGTTTGGTAGAGCTCCCTTGTTAAGCCTTCTGGGGCCTCTTTTAATTAAATTTTCAGGTTCTTTAATAGCTATTGATCTGTCATAGTTTACCGTTTCTTAGTTCAGTATTGACATTTTCTATGCTGATAGTACTGATTCATCTTGTCAAGATTTTAAAATATATTTAAATTGTTCAAAATTTTATGATTTTAAAATATTTACATCTGTAGTTCTTTTCCTTTTTATTATGCATCATATGTTTATTTACATCTTTCTTTTTTCTCTCCATCAGACTTGCCTGAATCATTTCTATCTTACTAGAATTTCAAATAGCCAAGTTTTGTTTTTTGTTAATTTTCTCTACCTTATTTATTTCCACCTCTAATTTTTTTTCTTCTTGTTTTTGGGATTTTCCCCTGTTGTTTCATATTTAAGTTCTTAAGCTAAAGCTTCCTTCATTTGCTTTCAATCTTTCTTTTTTTTAAATACCCCTCCGAAAGGAAGGAAAGAGAGACATGTAAGAGACAAGTAAGAGACATGTAAGAGACAAGCGTTGATTGGCTGCCTCCTGTACATACACCTGAACTAGGAATTGAACCCACAACCTAGGTGTATGTCCTGACTGGGGATCAAAACCTATGACCCTTTGGTGTATGGGACAATACTCCAACCACCTGAGCCACATTGGCTGAGGCCCAATCTCTCTCTCTCTCTTTTAAAAAGGATTTTATTTATTTACTTTTAGAAGGAAGGGAGGGGAGTGAGAAAGAGAGGAAGAGAAACAGGGAATAGACACATCCATAGGTTGCCTCTCACACGCTCCCAACTGGAGACCTGGCCCACAACCGAGTCATGTGCCTGACTGGGAATCAAAGCAGCAACTTTTTGATTTGTAGACTGGTGCTCAATCCACTGAGCCATACCCGCCAGGGCCCAATCTCTCTTTTTTGATAAAAATGTTTAAAGCCAAATGTTAATTACCCTCAAAACACTGCTTTGCCAGTGTTTTTTATTGCCATTCAGTTCTAAGGCATGGACAAAAAAGCGCCATGTACTAAACCCGACGAGCTAGGGGAGACCTGCGTGGTGGCCTTATTAACTCAGAGAACAAAAGCAGCCACAAAGGATGGTCAGAAATCAAAACATCAACTCAAAGCATTTCGTGGCAGGCAGTCATGTCCTAGTCTAGAATCTTTCCTGACAAAAGTCAGTCTTTACCTTAATTAAACTTGTCTATTGTCTTTTTGCAACTGTGATAACACACCTTTGGATTGTCAAAGTAATTTCCTTTTTCCAGACCCCTCAAAACTCAGATACGGCACCAGAACAGCAAAGTGGAGACCACAAATCCCCTCACTGTTACTGAGTTAATTGTTGACTGTTAACTGCCCTGTACCCGCCTCTGTAAAAGAAGTATGTGTCTATCATTTTACTTTTTAGCCAAACCCAGAAGTTTCCCCACTTTGCTTTCTCCCGCCTCCCTAATCTATCGCCAGCCGGTTTCATGTAACCCACTTGCGTCCTCCCCTTGGATTGTGGTGCCTAAAGCCAGTGCCGAGCTGCCGTTCTCTGGAGCATTTCCTCAGTCCCTTGAGGTTTTGCTTCCAGGTGATTGTCATCAGTTTGATCATAATACAAGGCAACAGCTGATTGTCATCCACCTCCCCCCCCTTCTCCCACCTCCCTCCCTTTCACTCCCTTTTCTTCTCCTGTTCCCTTGTTTTTTTCCTCTCCCTTTTTTTTTCTTTACTTCCTTTAGCTTCCTGAAGGTGAGATCATATGGTTTGTCTCAGCCGGCCTCACCAGATAAGCTTTCCACTCATAAAACAATTTTTGGATCCATACATATCATTGGGAAGGTGAACAATAATTTTACAGTGGAAGGGGTCAAAAGAGATTTTTCTAAAAATTCCATACTGTTTTCCATAATGGTTACCAGTCTCACTCCACAACAGTGAACTAAGGACCCCTTTCCCCACAACCCCTCCAACATTTGTTGTTTGTTGCTTTGTTTAAAAAATGGAACGCTTACGCCCTGCCTGTGTTTTACTTTTTAATTCAAGAGTTATTTGTGTTATGTTATTTAAGGGTTGGGGCTTCTATATTTCTTGTTTTCTAGAGTTATCTACAGTATAACAAAGATATCCCAGAATGCAATGCCTCACCAAACATTCCAGAGTGGGTGGGTAGCCTTGCTCCAAGAGGTCACCAGGTCCTGCCTTTCTTGCTTATTTACTTAATTACTTACTCATTGAGAAGGGGTTGGGGTGAGGGGAGAGTGGGAGAAAGAGAAGGGGAGAAACACTGATGTATGAGAAACATTGATCGCCTCCTGCTCACCCCAACTGGGGACCAGGCCTGCAACCCAGGCTTGGGCTCTGACCGGGAATTGACCTGGCAACCTTTTGCTTTGCAGACGATGCCCAACCACTGAGCCACACCTGTCAGGTGATCCTTCCTTTCTCATTGTCCTGCTCTGAGCATCATCCCGATGCATGTGATTGAAGCCATCTCACCGTCACCAAATCTGTGTTCTAGTCTGCCAGAAGACAGGATGCAGAAGGATGGAACAGTTAGTTAAAGACATGACCCACATTTTGCCCACCTTGCTCCTGTTCCTATTCCACTAACAAAATATTAGTCATCTGGCCACAGGAGACAGAGTGTATCAATAGGGATTTGGTCAGAAAAACAGAAACTGAGCCAGTTATTTTAGTAGACAGAATTCAACATATGGAATTGATCCAGTGGGTTAAGTCAATGCTGAGATGACAAAATGGGAATACATATTAACCGAAGATAATAGATGCAGAAGTCAGCTTTGATCCCCTAGGACTGAACCAAAAAAGGGATGAGGTTGGGGATATTGAATCTAGAAGGTTGAAGGGGTACTCCTGTAAGAGCCAAGACCCAGATCTCTGACAAGAGGGCATCAGACAGCTGGTACTAGTACATCGGAGGCAGAAAATGAGAAAGAGTATGGAAAGACAGCAGTCAACTGCTGTTACCAGGCAGAAGAACCACTGGGTTGATGAAGACAATACAGAGCAGAACAGGAAGAAGCAGGCACCTTCCGCTTCTAATTGTTTTCTCTCTTCTGTGCCCCCTCTTGGTAGACTCTGATAGGCAGCCAGCTGGCAAGGGGGAAATGTGATTTGTAGATTCTCAGCCTCAGGACCACAAGGGCCACTATGAACAGGTGGGGTTGGGCTAAGAAACAGTGAATTAGTAACCCACGCAGTCCACCCACCCTTTTGACTACTCAGTAGTCATATATACCTTTCTACACATAGTTGACCTTCCATTCAAAAACCATACAATGCCGTATTTCACATGACCTTCAACAAAGAAGCTCTCACCTGCTCCCCAGTGAAGGGAGATACTGAATTTCTTCAGTCATTACATCCACCCATTTTGCTTTCTCTATTATTTTCCTTTTATTTCTCACCTTTGGATTGAACCTTCTCCTAACACATCCATTTCCCTGTCTATACTATTTTGAAAGTATTACATTCGGTCTCCTTTTTTAGTGGTTACTCTCATAATGTTATGCGTATTTTTTAAACGATTTTATTTATTTATTTTTAGAGAGGGTAAGGGAGGGAGAAAAACAACAATATGTGGTTGCCTCTCACACGCCCCCTACTGGGGACCTGGCCTGCAACCCAGGCATGTGCTCTGACTGGGAATCGAACCTGTGACCCTTTTGTTCATAGGCCAGCACTCAGTCCACTGACCCACAACAGCCAGGGCACAATGTTATGTGTATTTAACAAAATCCTCAGCTTTCTGGTAGAGGCATGGAATCGGTGGCCATGGCCTCTGGTCTGGGATGAACCGCGCTCTTGGCGGAGGCAGCGGAGCTGAGCTGGAGCCATGGCCAGTGCAGTGGTAGCAGTTGAGCTGACCATTGCTGCTGCAGGATTTGCAGGCTGTTATGTTTTGCAAGCCTTGAAGCATATGGAGCCTCAAGTCAAACAAGTTTTTCAAAGTCTATCAAAATCTGCCTTCAGTGGTGGCTATCACAGAGGTGAGAGTGAACCCAAAATGAGAAAATGGGAAGCAGCATTAATACTAGGTGTAAGCCCTACTGCCAGTAAAGGAAAGCTAAGAGATACTCATTGACAGATTATGTTTTTAAATCACTCAGACAAGGGAGGATCTCCTTATATAGCAGCTAAAATCAGTGAAGCTAAAGATTGACTAGAAGGTCAAGCTAAAAAGTGAAGTCAATGTATGATGAATTTTAAAATTCTTATCAGTTATGTGTACAAGTACCAGCTTTTTATAAAATGCCCCAAAGCTACAAATTTTAAAAATGATTTAGCACAAACTAAGTCAAACCCTTGTATAAGTTTGTTTAAATTTGAGGATTTTGTCAGACTATAGCATAGTTGGAGATTACTGCTCAATAATTATGGGTAAATACAGACCATTTGAATAGAACTATTTTTCATTACTCATTTGGCAAATAATTTAGTGCTTACTCAAGGCAAAGTGAACATGAAGGTCTCTGCTCTCAAGGAACCCCAATCTGACAGGAGACTAATAAACCGGTAGTCAAAATACAATGTGATAAATACTGTGATGGAATCAGCACCAGTTGTGATAGTAAACTCATCCCATTGGGAAGAAAGGTTGTCAAGGTACAGAGAACTGGCTCAGTGGCTTGGAGCTGTCAATTAAAAAATGAATTTAGCCACAATTTGACCTAAAAAAAATTGATGTAGGTATGTATATGTCACTGACAGAATTCAGACTTCATACATTAAAAGCTTGATTTTAAAAAATCCTCCCCATTTATATGTTTTTCAAGATTACAATTCTTTTTTTAACACCAAAGTTTGACATTGCTGTACTTTTGATAGAGTAGATATATGTCTACTGTTCACTTTGTTTCCTATTTCTTTTTTTTTCTAACCTTTACCTGAGGACATGTTTA